GAGACAACATCACATTAGATTCTGTAGAAACATTCTGAAGACATATGTCAAGATATTTTATTCTGCTAATGTCCTGAAAATGTAAAAATTCCTCTTTTTAATGACTAAATAATTATTTTGCCTAAGTAAACACAGCAACTGTTACTTTGTCAACCACTCAGAGCTRTGTTTTACACAGCCATACCAGTGACAGAGTTCCAGCTGGGTGATATTAGTTAAGTCAGACTAACTCTTCCCAGGAATCCCAAAATCAAACCAATAGGACTGCTTGCTCAGAAAATCTGTACAGAGAAAACAAAGCTAAGGAATTCATAGTCTAAGACCAAAGCTGAGGTTGTTCTGGTCTAAACCAAGACATGAGACAGTGATTCTGTGCAGGAGACTGAGGAGCAGGATGCCACTTTTCCCATATTACCTCATGTGATGCTTGGCTAGAGATGCGTAATTTTAGATGGAGAAAAATATATGTTCATGTGAACATACTGGGTGCAAACTGGTGCAGCAAACRTGCAGAACCCAGTGCCCTGAACAGGTAGAGTAACATGTTTGCAGAGCACCATAAGGAACTGAGTACAGACCTTCACTTTGAGGGACTGAACATTTACATTATTGTGAAAGAGAGCAACAAAAAAACAGTTAAAACTTCCTCATTAATCCTGCCCTCTGGGGCTCTCTCCTCCCATGCATCCTTCATCCTCTATAGAGAGTGACATCCGATAAGCTCCAGCAGCCGGATGTAAATGCCAAAAACACCAGCCAAATCAAGCACAACACAGGAAAAATAGTACRAATTTAAAAATTCCCCAGGCAGAAAGTAGCTATATCATTGCTTTTACTTACTGTAAACATTAATATATTTCCCTTTTTTTCTCTCTTCCTAAAATTTTGCTTGTAGGGCTACAGCTGAATAGTACTCTGCACATCAAATACATTTTCTCTATATATAGTGACATGCCACAAACTCATACCCATTATAACAGTTCATTGTCAGATTTCACTACATTGGGCAGATTTTTGCCCATTTAGTAGCCTTGAARTAAAATATCATTATTTTGATACCATTTGCCAGCAACAAATTGACTAAAAAATATGGYTTGAAATCAGTCCCATTTTGCAAAAAGACAAGGAATATGTTATTAATTAAACTTATATTTTGAAGGGGGAAATATTTATTAAAGACAAAGTTAAGGGTTCACAAATTTTTTGCTCACACTTTTCTCATATTTATGGCAGAAATTACATACACTCACAGTCACCATTATTTATACTTGAAGCTGAGAAAGAAGTCTCAGCCCCACTGAAACTACGTTCATTGTAGCACAAACAAAGCAGTAATCTTTTCATTAATAATAAAGCATTTCTATTGGACTCTAGCTTAAATGTAACAAAGAATAGACGGGTCATTCTTCATCATTATCTATAAATTAATTCTTCATATACTAACAGCACTACCTTTAATAATTCATAAGAAAGTGAAAATTTACATTTTTAGCTTAGGGCATTTGCCACCACAGTATTTATCAATGGCACTGGAATCCAAGGCTGAAAATCTTCCACCCTCTGATTAATGAGAATACAAAGTGATTTCAACACCACAAAAGAAATGGAAGAAAATAAATATCATTCACCTACTCACAAAAGAAAGGGAAAAAAGCTAAAGACATGACAGAAATGTGAGATTCTGGAAGCCCTGACAGTGTGTTTGCACCTCTGAAAAAATAAACTGCAAATAAGGGACAGTCTACCATCTCCTGATATATTTTACAGAAATCCAGCATATTTGAATTGCAATTGCTTTTTTTAAGCAATAACACATGTCAATGCTGTTATGAGGCATAACACAACTAAATGATTGATTTGATCCTGAAAGGCAATTGCCATCTAGAAGAAGGTGAGAGACCCCACAGACATACATTTGGAGGAGCAATTCTCAGYCACAGAGAGCCTTTTGTACCTGGACTGAACCAGTTCCCACAGAACAGGGGGAAGAAAAAAAAGAGAGAGAGAAAAGAGAAAAAGGGGAGGAGAACAAATAAATAAACCCAAAAGTAGGAACATTTCAAATCAGTAATAACAACTCAAAGGCTCAAATGAACATTATCCATGAGTATCAATGTGAAAAGGCAAAAATACACTGAAGAAAATGGTAGAGGTTTAGAAGAATGTAATTCAGTAATACTTGAGACCCAGCYCATGCCAAGGAGCAATAGCTGCTGGTGATGGGCCACCAGATGCTCTCAAGTACCTGCACTGGAGGTGACAAGGATAGCCCAGGAGCATGTTACTGCCAGCAATTTACTGTGTGCATTAGC